CGACAATTAGTCGCACGGTAGAATTGATTTTATGCTTTATATTAACTACCAAAGGAGAATTATAATAAAAGCATTCAAAGATACAGTACATTGAAAAATGAGTACAATTACAGGTTTCTAGCAAGTCTTTCTAATTGTTTAAAAATTGTTTAATGAGGAGCAAGCAGTAATTGCTTTAGACGTTTACCATAATCCAAATACTTTTTACTTGGATTAAAACTTTGGTCAGCATTAATTTTCAATATCTGTCAATGAATATAAATTTCTTCTTTTTGCAGACTTTCGATAAAAATCCTGAGAGACAGATGTTGACATTGAATAACAGTCTCCTATGCCAGACTTCAGCAGAATTATTTGTACGCATTGACTAGTTGATTGTTTGCTGATGCATGTTTCACAACTCAATTGGATATCTGGGTATGGCACGTCTATTAGGCCGCCGTTTTCCGATATATGCATCTTCAAAATAATCCTTTAGTGGTTATAATTTTGGTGGTAAAGATCATCGAACTTTTGATTTGTAACGAATGGTTGAAAGAATGCTAGTGCAGCAATTTTGTTCACATCATATGGAAAATTTGAATCATTTTCATAGCTGCTTTTCGACCCTAATTCCTACAATACGGATAAGCTTTATGGAAATGTTATTCACCTGAACGTTTTATAAAATACTATTCTGAAGATGAAAAAAACAACCGATGTTGTTGTTGGATTTGTTGTTGTAGCAAAACTTTCTTGAAAGGCATTAATAGCAGCTTTTTTGAAATCTGCCATGATCGATCTGGGATTCCATAAAGGACATAAATGAACTACAGTAGTTCGTTAATTAGTCTTTGACATGTTCACTGATGTCTGTCCGGAGTTTAATGCAAAAACTAACGAGAACACATTATTTTGACGCCGTGTATGATGTATAGCTGAAAAAATATGATTGGTGTAACGTAAGAAAAGGTAAATAGCATACATATTGTGGCGAAAAATTAGCATCAAAATGCTATACTTACCTTAAATGTTCCATCGATATGTATTTCTTCTGTATCCTCGAGTATTCTGAATTGATCAGTAGACGAAAATATGATCAAACGATTATCACCAGGTTCAGAATCAAACTGTAAAAACCTGTCGTGTCGCATTGTTATTGTTAATTCTGCTGGAATTGTGACCATTCATCGAAGAGTAATTTGAACGTCTATAATGAATGATAGACGTTCAGAAGTTAAAAAAAAGAAATAAATAGCTTTTTGAACGTCTGGAAGTAACATTAATAAAGAAGAATTAACACAGTGTGAAATAAAGAACGAAGTAGAAAAAAAATCAACCGTTGTGCCGTTATTTATGACAATAGTTTGAATGAAATGTTGGCGAAAACACAAGGGAAAATATACGTTTGAAAAATATTCTTATTTATTAGCAATGAAAGTAATGTATGCGACGATATCGAACTCAATTGACCCAAACTCAACAGAACATGTAACTAACTATTTTATTTATGGTCTTGAATACTTTTTTGATTGCACCATCGGTTCACATTTATAGGAGAAAATTCCTTTTTCTTTATGTACTCAGAAACACAGATTTGTTATTATCAGCCAATCTTACTATGCTAAATAAATTGTTTTACAACTGCTTTTTCGCTACAGAAAAGCTCATACCTTGGAAACTTGAACTAGTCCTTACTACGTGCGCAGTCCACGAGACTGCCTTTCTCTAACTTTTCACTCAACACAGTTTAGAATATATACGTCGTACGAATCCGATAAGAATCAGGTAAGATTTAAATAAGAATGAGCTATAACTTTGATAAAGCGCTCTTATTACTTTCTTATGAAATTCTTACTAACAGCCAATCATCGTTTTATTTTATAGAAGCACATACTATATAAGCAACACTGATTTCTTCGAAATTTTTTAAAGTTCCTTCAAACTAGGTAAGACTGGTCGGTTTGAAAATGCCTTGCGACATCTTACACACTCACTAATGAACTATAAAGCTAACTAAAAAAATGTTGGAAGTTTCTGTTAGTTCTTGCCCTTTCCTTGTCGAATTCTTACAGGATTCTTAACTGATCCTTATCTGCTTTTTGTCAAATTCTTGTCACTTTCGTGCGGACTCCTTATGTAAGAATTCAATAAGATTCTTATACGAGTCATCAGATTCTTTTGTAAGAATCGATTACTAGGGCTTATTGGGTTTACTTTCAATAAAGAAACAAAACGGTTGTAAAACAAAATTTCTTTAGTACAAACAGATCGAGTTTTTTAAATATCAGAATAGTTTTACTGTAATTCGTCAACATTTATTACATATATCACTTGCTTGATGTGAGTCAACTATCAGTATTTTTCAACAAAAAGGCAAGAAATGTTTGGATATATCCTATGGAGAAAATTTTGTAAATTTTAACCTGTCACATCATGTTTTACCATCAGCAGCCTCGAGTCTAATTCAACTGGATAGTTTTCATGATGTTTGAAACTGAGTGAACTCTTTTGCGTGCACATAAGTATTAAAAATGAGTGAGCCAATAACATTTTCTTCTTTTTTTTTATGTAATTAGTAGTCACAGAAAATAAAAAATGTACGCATACACTTTTGACATGATGAGACTAATAATTTCCTTTCAATATGAGAAACGGTTGAGTACAATAGGCTACTGATTCTTTTGGCGATGTTTCTTTTATAAAACTCGAATGAAGAAAACATAGAACTTCAGATCCTCTATGCATCATTTCATTAAAGTTCATAATTGAGAGATTGACAGAATTTTTGATAAAAGGACTATTTTCTTCTTAATTGTTCTTTTAACCTATCTGGTATGATTTTCTCAATTTCAGAATGTTTTTCCAGTAGCACATTACAGTACTACTTCCGTTGCGTAACTGAATCCCTGAAACTGAGATGTTGTTAAAAAACTAATAATATTAAAAAGAACTGATGATTTATATTAAAAATTTTATACCTGAAGTTCGGTTTAGTCGGAAACACTGTTAACTATAAATTATGACGATACTTGTACACTTTTCTGTCTATTGGTGTTAAACATATTATTGTATTTGTTTTGATTCAAGATTTTGCAGTTTGAAGGACAGACGTTCCATTATTTAGAAGAGAGACTTTCATTTTTTGAAAAAGAAACACAGCGTCACACGCACACACATTTTTTTCTTCTCATTCTTTTCATTCACAATGACAGAAAATGTTTTCCGTTTACAGTAGATTCTAATTGATGCAGAAACAAAGTAAATTCTATGAACGTTTTTTTCTCGTTCATCATTATTCACATATTTTTGTCTAACCTAGTTTCGCTAATTCTTGCTGTTTATTGACAGGAGTTATCATTATTTATCAGTAAGTGAATCATCTTGTTGTTTAACATCATTAGGGAAAAAATATGAACAATATTTAATTATATCATGTTAAGAGAAAATAGACATCACTACTATACAACTGTTATCCAAGAGGAGACACAGGCGAAAGAAAAAGAAAGCTTTTCCACAATATGTCTGTTAAGAGCAATAAGAAAAATTTGATTTGCAAAAAAAGATATTGTGGAATCTCTAATTCTTAAGCCATTTCTATCTTTAATTGAATCTCTTTACGGCTAAAAAGATTTTAACACGTTTACACTTCAGAAATCGGATAAACAGGTAATTAGTTTCAAGTAGTTATATCCTCGTTTGGTTCATTAAGATATGTTTGAGTGTTTACTGTGAAGGTTATGTTACAAGATGAAGTTTTCGGACGCATCTTTCACTCAAATTTACTCATGTAAAAGAAATCAAAATTCGTTATCTTACATCTTAGAACTCATAGTTGCGGCACAGTCTGACGAATGAGCTAAATAAACATCGTAAATACAAAGAAAAATAATTGAGTTCACTCGGAGAAAAAAGATTGTAAAAAAAAGATTTCAAATAATAAGCCTAATAGCTGACGTATTATTTTCAACAAGAGCAATTCTCATTATCTTCAAACCTCTTAAAGATTTTGATCTAGATTGCTTGGTTCAAAGTTCGTCTTAATTGAAAGTATAGCTTATATAAAATTAAACTTTATACTCATTAACAAGAACTTTTACCTTACACTCAACATTTTCAGTAAGTATATTACCTTGAGATCTATCAAAATAAGGGAAAAACGATATATTCTTTCTTCGAAAGAGTAAAATAAATGAAGTTATATTTCAGAAAAAGAACTAATGTGATATGTAGCTCTCATTTTTAGTTATTTGTTTAACGTATTAGTCTTTTCTGATTAAAAAACATCTCTCAGAAATCTTTATAACAGAAATAGCGTAAAATAGTAGGGCAAAAAATGAGAACGATGTTTACAAAACTCATTTTGACTTTAATTTTTCACTCAATATAAGATTATATAGGATTTGCAAAAGCATTCACTGTTTTCTAGTATACGTTGTTTTTTTGAGTAAATGCTCGTTAACAGAAGAGTTCAGATACACAGAAACGTGGCGAATTGAATTCTCGTACTTTTTTTGACTTTTGTTTGATTTTTAAACCTCCTAGCAGCGCCTTTGAGCTAGAATATAAAGACTTGTATTAGCTTTTAAAGTAATTGTTTTTTGAACATTATTGTATCCTGTATAGCAAATGGAGCAGGGACGAATGCAGGACACTAGCTTTCACTATTAACTACAGATTTATTATCGTACGACGTTCACTTTTCATTGTTCTGATCTTGACTACCGTATGATAAATTGATCATAAGGTGTATCTTGACTTCGTGGAAAGTTAAGCGATGAAAAACTTTAACACATTATTAATTTTTGCTATTTGTTAATCCGACAGAAAGTGAAATATATAATAAAATATTCTATTTCTCTATGCCTTTTTTAATGAAGAAATATGTCCGTAAAATGTTATTTGTTCTATTCGTCTTGTCAATTTCAATTTCTCTAAAATTAATGTTCTTTTTTTTCCGTTATAGGAGGACGACTGATTGACTGATAAATATTTTATTCTCCTCGTCTTTTCACTACACAATGGATCGATCACCAAAACATGAATATTATTCAACAAAATTTCAAATTCAAGATGAAACAATAAATTCAACTATTGATTCACTACCATTACTTGTTGATATTAATGATAATTATAAAACCATTCGTGAATTAGGATCGGGTACATACGGTCGTGTATTACTTGCCTATAATCGTGATCAACAACAACGATTCGCACTTAAAGTTTTACCAAAAATTACAACGAAATTTCGTGATTTTCAACGTGAATATAATTATTCTATGCTATTAACACCACATCGTAGTATAATATCAACATTTGAAACATGTTATCAAACACATGATTCATTTATTCTTGTACAAGAATATGCACCACTGGGTGATCTATTCGAATCAATACCACCACAAAAAGGTTTACCGGAAAAACATGCCAAAATAATTATGAAACAAATTGCATCAGCATTAGAATTCATGCACGATAAATCTTTGGTAAGTCTGATTTCATTGGAAAAAAACAACAATTTTATCAGGGCTAAAATTGTGAAATTCTTATACTCTTCATTTGATAGTTTAAGTGAGTGAGCATACCGCATGGAAACAAAGCATAATGATTCTGATTTATTTCGTAAATCTTGATTATTCGGTTGCTAATAACATTTTCGTTCAGTTATAATTTATAACAAAATGAATATTGACATTTTTATTAAATATTATAGGATGAATAATACTCTAAGGTGAATACTAGGTATACTAGGATAGATAGGAGGATAGACGGTTCAAAACACATCGAAAACCACTGGATTTCAAGTATACAGCTTTAACTCCTCTACTATGGAGTTATGGAGCGTATTTTCACAAAACGATATGTTTTCGACAAAATTAACGATTTGTTTTTGTTGAAATCTTGCAACTCTACAGATGTAAATTCAATTTCACCCTAATTTTCGCTGTAATAATTAGTTTCCTTCCATTTTCACTGTATTTTGTGATGAGCGTAATGAACTGAAGAGAATTAGAAAATTCAAAAATACTGACTGTAACAGCAGTATTTCTATTCGATGATCTATGTGAATAGATATGATTGAAATCAGACATTCGTTTCTTTTCTATTTTTGTCGCTGGTATAGACCAGTTTTTTACATTCGTAAAAGCGACATGAACAGAAAGAAACACTCAATCAGTTCTGTTATAATGATAAATTCTTCTTTTTTTTTTTGAGTTCTCTGGAGAAATAAAGTGAAGTACATTGGTATTTGAACTGTTTTATTTATTGTCATAAGCAACGCAAAACATCTAAGCGTGCAAAAGAATATAGATTATAAATCAGATTTTACAAATCATTAATATCTAATTATCTAAATTTAGTTCATTTGCACTAAAAGATAAAAATTTCAACTACAATAAAAAGAATTTCTATTTATAATTCTTTGAGAGTACTCATTCTCACAGATATGAAGAGAACTTCTAGAATCTTAAAGCACTACAGAATTCTCTAGAATCTACCGAAATCTTAATAATTTAGAATCTTCTAGAATATGGGATGTATTGGAAAAACTACATTTTCTCTATGAAACTCGTCATTAATCTAAACAAAAAAAAAATGGACTTCTTACTGAATCTCGAAAACTAAATTCGTCCATGATGTTCTTAATGCAGTAGGCTGATGACATAAAATCACTTTTATTTTACAAGATAAACTATTTTCTAAATATTTACAAAAATCTCTTGATTAAATATATCTTCCCATCTATCTGTCATATTGGTAAATAGAATATTTTAAATCTTAATTATTGACATTTTTTTTTTAATTTTATTTTTAGATTCATCGTGATGTTAAACCAGAAAATGTGATGATATTTGATGCTGATTTTCATAAAGTAAAATTAATTGATTTTGGTATGACACGTAAATGTGGTTCATATGTAAGACGTCTCATTGGTTCAATTCCCTATTCACCACCAGAAGTTTGTGATGCAACAACAAATGATATTCTCGTTACATCAGCAATGGATATTTGGGCATTTGGTGTTTTATTATTTTGTACATTAACCGGTATATAGAAAAAAATTTTTATCTAAAGAAGAAAAATGAAAAGATTATTTTTTCATTTTATAGGAAATTTTCCATGGGAACATGCTCAAGAATCCGATACTTATTATAATGAATTTTTAATGTGGCAAAAACGTAAACGACGAAAATTACCATCACAATGGTTTCGATTCAATCCAAGATTGATGAGATTATTTAAAAAAATGTTAGGTAAAAATATAAAACAAAATAGTGTTTATATTTTTAAAATTAACTTCTAAGAAAAATGAGAGTGTTTAAACTGTTAGATAAATTGTAATTTATTTTATTCTTATAGATCCTTTACCTGAAAATCGTTGTGAAATTCATGAAATATGTAAATATTATGATGATAGATGGATAAATGAAAATGTTCGTCGACGTCCTTCGAATGAAGATGAAGGTGTCGAAGAAGATTATTCAAGTGGTGATTCAACAAATGGCACAGATTTAGAAGAATTAACAAAAATGTTAAAAGATTATGGTTTTGATCATCAGAGTGAAAATCAACTAATACATCATCCGTCTATTGACATTCCAAATGCAAATAATCAGATTACATCAGATAATTTACAATTTGTTAATAAACACGAGAACGGTAGTGATCTCCTCAGTCACCATAATCATTATAAATATCCACCATCATCATCCACTACAATATTCTATAATACAACATCTACGACAAAGTCATTATTTTCTAATTAAAACAATCATTCATATGTGCCATAGAACAACAAAACAGTGAAAACAAAAATGAAACAGTGATTTTCACTCTC